ATATATATATATATATATATATATATATATATATATATATATATACTATCTTTAAACAAAAAGAAAACTACATGCAATCAAAATTGTGGAAGCACTCAACTTAGGCAAATTTGACAAACATTTTCTAGAAATCTGCCAACAAAATACCGTTAAAATACATTGGGAATTGCAGCTACAAGCAGAAGTACTTTGGATCATATTNAAAATACATTGGGAATTGCAGCTACAAGCAGAAGTACTTTGGATCATATTATATACAAAGTAGTTAAAAATCATAAAATTATGTATCTGTTGCCCTAGCCAGTTTCGCTCAGTGGTTAGAGCATTGGCCCGCAGACTGGAGGGTCCTGGGTTTGATTCTGGCCAAGGGCCTTGGTTGCAGGCTCGGTCCCCAGCCAGGGCGGGGGTATGTGTGGGAAGCAACCAATCGATGTGTCTCTCTCACACTGATGTTTCTCTCTCTCACTCTGAAAAAGCAGTGGAAAAAATATCCTTGGGTGAGGACTTAAAAAAAAAAAAAAATTAAAAAACAACATTTAAGCAGTTGGGTAAGGAGAATTATGTTCAAAACAAAAATCCAACCACAGTTCCACATAATTTGGTGATCATTGATAAACTAAAATATAGGCTACTTAAGGGCAAGTATCTAATTCATCTTTGTAGTTTCAGCTTTAGACAATGTGACTGTGCAAAAACTAGCACATAAGAGGGGCTTAATATATGTTTGCTGAATAAGTAAATTTAGTGCTGGGAAAAGAAACTTAAGATCATGTTTTATGAGTACATCATAATCTCAAATAAAACATGCCATTGGAAAATATCAATGAATCAGAAATTCAGCAGACCCAACGGCCATAAAAAGCTGAACACTTCCAATTATTAAACTCAACCAATCTCTGATGGGCTCGCAATAAAACTGGTAGTTAGATTTATCATATATTCAATTCAATAAACTATATATGTTAAAATAGAAATCTGATTCATTATTAAGTAGTTATTAAAATAATTTAAAGGAAAATTACTGGAAATATATTCAACTTTTTCTCT